TATATATATATATATATATATATATATATAAAAATGCACACATGTTAAACACAAATGCCTCCTGATCATTTTAGTTCCGTGAGATTTTCACCCTTCAACAGTGTTGCGGTTGACTTTAGCCGGAGTGCAAAACAATAACAAAAATCATGGCTCGTGCACAAGGTCGCCTTATTGTTGTTTGTAGCCGTGACTTCTGGAAAGATAAACTGTGTCTCTGTTGCACAGTAACATTCAACCAGGCGTTTTTCTTTCTTTTCAACAGCGCTCAGCCAATTGTAATAACATGTGCTGCCAAGTCTTTCTTACATCTTGGAAGCTCTAAATTGTATTTACAAAACACTGCAGCGCCGGAAAGCAAGGACAATTCCAGGAACTACGTGCATTTCCACTGCAGAGACCTGGACCTTAGTGTAATTATCAGGGCTGTTAAAGTTGGCTTAACATGTCCTAAAAAACTGCTGACCAGAAAATGTTGCGACAGGCATTTTTTGTGTTGTTATGTTATGCATTCAGTCATGTAAACATCTTGTACGATTTACCCTCTATCAGTACTGCTAGCAGTGGCCCATTCGTTTAGTTACTTATTAAATCAAATTAACATTTTGTTAAAAATGAATATATAAATAAATAATAAAAGAAAGAATGAAGGAAAAAGAAATTAAGCATTTCATGTTTTAAAAATATTTGAATTAAAACCTTGGTCGTTATATTTAGCCATTAGCTTGCATGAACTAAATTCTCCACGTAAACAGACATAACTGAGACATTCAACCCTTGCACTGTTTGTAACAGATAATTGAGACATTCAACCCTTGCACTGTTTGTCAGATCGTGATTGTTAAGATCACAGCTTGTTCTTATATCGATGCTGTTTCCGTTTTTCTGCATCTCACCTTGTGTTTCTAACTTTGGCACTCCACTGCCTACCATGTGTGTCCACGCCTTCCTCCGTCCACCTTCCCCCACCTACGGTCTTTCTGTCCGTGGTGACACCTAACCATCCCCAACTGTGTCCCGTTAACTCCTCCCCGTCTGTAAATACACCGCACTCTATTCTCAGTTGCCAGCTCATCTGCCTTTGTCTAAGCTAGCCATAGCATCTTCAGTGGTTAGCCTTCTAGTTTGCATCTTTGCCCCATGTTTGAGCTCCTCTGCTGAAATGGTGACTAAAAGATCAGTTTGTAAAAGCGTACAGCATGACCTGACTATCAGTTTGTAAAAGCGTACAGCATGACAATGACCTATCAAATTAAAGAACGTATCACCCCAAAGGTATTTCTATACCAGGAGCTAAAATTCATACTAGGCCTACATGTGTTTGAATCTCCCCTGAACAATTACTCAATCTGAATGGTGACAGGATGCCTTTACTGTGAGCATTCAAGTGACTCTCTACTTGTAACACAATAGATCCAATTCAGGAGACTGCAGCCTATTCAGCCCCACAACCTATGGGGGCTCTAAGGGGGCCGGCCTGCTTTGGCTGTAGACCCGTATTAGACATTCCCGTCTACTAGACCGGAGGTGTCAGGGTATTTCATCCACCACGTACTTGCAGTAATCTCTTGGGAAAAGCTTAGGTGGTCGGTGGTCACTGACTTGAGAGGCGACACCTTCCAGACAGATATGAGGCCTTGTTTATGTGCAGCCTATAATTTTGGATGCTTCCACTTAATGCTATACTTCCAGGAAGAGAAACAGATCCAGGTTGATACTTTAATAGCTCAACCCATGGGGGCCCTCATAACTCAGTCCTGCTCAGTTACGACAGGACTGTTACTTGTATCCTTATGAGGTCAAGTGTTCACATGTGAAAAGCAAATCATTGATTTACCGTGTGTCACGGCCCGCTTTCTTTCAACCAGGACCAGTGCATCTAATCAGGGCCTTAACAAGTAGGAGATATCATTAAACGTGTACTGCAATGCTAATATTTCCCCTTTTCTTTTATGAGCGTGCCATAAGCCTCTGTTGGGTTAACTGGAAAAATAACCTTTAACCAAAGCAAACGTTGTTATGCCATTTCTTACAGATTGATCAGTCAAATAAAAAATACCAGTGATTTTAAAAAAAAATTCTCTCTCTGTACTGTTGCTAAACACCGAAAGTATGAGTGATATGTGTTTGGGGATCTCTGACGAACAAGGACACTGCAAACTGCACCAGGGTCAGCCCTCACTCATTGGTAATAAATCTGGATGGTAATTAGGGTTGAGATATATGAGACATGACAGGTGCGATTGAACGATCAATCAATTGTGTCAAGAGTGATTAGGTTGGCCATGATTAACCTCATGGACGCTAATAAAGGGAAGTAGTAATCAGTGGAAGAGGCTAAATACAGCCCAGGACGTTGTAAAGTAAATATTTATCCTGCCAAATGCCACACTGTTCTAGAAAAGTCTGATTACTTATACTCTTGATATCCCGTGGCCAGGTGTCACTCGTGGTTTTATAGTTGCTATGTGCGAAATGAAACTTAAAAACATATTTGTGTCTAGCAGAATTTAAATAGTATTTTTTTTTAGTTGCCTTAACAGTCGGTATCACCACCCGATATCTTTGTCTTTGAGTCCCACAATTTTGGAATCCATTCGTGGGCCGGATTCGATTGTTTGGTGGGCCAGATTGGGCCTGCAGGCTGCAAGTTTACAACCGCTAATTTAAGCCATATGTACACCCACCAGTATCAGGGAGCAAAATATATGTATATTTAGAAAAGCTATAGGTAGAGTATCGGTTTAGGATCAAACTAAATCTTATGGTATCTTATAAACTACCAGCTCAGGCTAAAAAAAGTAACAGTTAATGGCGGTCAACTTACGGAAGACTTTCAACATTGTGGCAGCGTCTGCAGTGCCTGAAGGTCCAGCGTTAACCTGGCAGTAGAAGGTGAGCTCATCAGAGGCTTGAGTGGGACTAATGGTCAAGGAGAAGTCCTTTCCGATGGTGATACGGCCCGTAAGGACGGTGCCTTCATCGATTGTTTCTGTACCACCCTCGGGACGGAATCCCACTCGCTTCCTTGTTCCCTGGTCCTCCTGAAATAGAATTGAAAAAAATCTTAAAGTTAAACAAAAGGATAAATATATGTCGGCGACATATAGATACACGTTAAGGTCTTCGTCACTTACAATGGACCATTCCACGATGGTGTTTCCTGATGATGCGCCAGTAAATGAGCATGGCAATTTGGCCATGTCTCCTTTTAGCACCTCAACCTTGGGGACCACATTCACAGTCACAGCTCCGCTGCATACTGAAAAGAAAGAACCAAAAAAAAAAAAACACAAATGAATATGAATTCCAAAGTCAAAATATTGAATTGTTCTTAAAACTACGAACAAAACTCAAAACTTTAAATATTTCATAGGGTAGCAAACAAATAAATAATGCTCAAATCATGTTAACTGAACCCTGTGCTCCGCCATTAGGCTAATGACTGCAGTGAACGTTTACGGTTACGCTGAAATGTAAGATAAAAGACATACACAACATGTTAGCAAGGAACAGGCTGATGGTTACGCTGAAATGTAAGATAAAAGACATCTTTAAGATGGGGGGGGGGAGGAAGTGAGGGCGTCAAAAAAATGCGATGTCAATATCAGAGAAATCACATGCCGTCTTCACTGGAAGCCAGCGTGAGCGTTCAATATCCGTAGGACTGGGAGGAGTTCAAATGCTGCTCCGAGAACATCCATGTCATGACCCCAGGAACTGTTTATCAGCTCTGGCGCACGGCCTGGTTCTGCAGTGTTTCAAGGAGTCTACACTCATCACCTGTCACACACCGACACACAGACTGAGGTTTGAGATTACAGCACACTTTCAGCCACAGCGCTGTTTTCCACTGAAAATACATCTGAGCACGAATACACTCACTCTCAGTAAAGCAAACACCCACACACACACACACACAGGGCCACACAAATATACACTGCTCTAGAGATAAGACCTGACAACATGATGTCTGCTGATGTATGGGCTCTTACTGTACTTTTTCTTGTTTCAAGAGGGAAACTGTTGCAGCTACGTTTTTTTTTTTTTTAAATCCTTGCTTTCCGAAGGAAAAAAAAAGCACTAATGATAGAATAACATATCATATCTGATAGCTGGTAAATGATTTAATGCAGGGGTCCACAACCCCTGGTCTGGGGACCTGTACCTGTCCGTAGGTCATTTGATACTAAAAAATGTACTGCAGTAATATTAATTTACTTCATTCCAAACGAATCCAGTGCCAATCAGGTCAAAATAGATCAATCCCGCTTAGTCGCCCGAGACACAACAAAATGATCTCATTATAAAGTGAACTTATTATAAAGTGATTTATATATTAAGGCCCTAAGATCAAATATTTCCAGTATTTGATCTTTACCTTAATGCAGAGTTCATTACAAGTGTGTAACTCATAGAAGATGAAAAAGACAAGACGTCCATTTCAACTCGTCTCTTGTTTTCTATTACATTCCAAAAAAAGAAAAATGATATAAAACCTTTTTTTTTTTCATGTCCATTTTAATGTTTATATATAAGCCGTAAAGTGTACGCCGGCTAATTTACATAAGATGCTGATGAAAATCTTACCCAGAATCCTGTGTGCTCATGAACACATCATTAGTTTCTGGACTAAGAGAGAGCTGCACATGAATAATAGATCACGTCGGAGAATTTGTCAAAAAAGCTGAGGACTTCTGGGAATCGTACTTTCAAAAAGTAAGCGTAAGAAATGCAGACAGGGGAAAGAACAAAGTGTGTTGGCTCAAGCGTGTCTGCGGAGAAATATGAGAGGACAAGGAGCGTGATAGTCAAAGGAGTGAAGAGAGGAGAGAACATCAGGGAGACATAAAAATAGACAAAACTGGGAAAGACTGCTTTTTACTAAAGATACCAAAAACCACTGAAGGTCAGAGGTGAGAAGAGTGTTGACATATTTCATGTCCCTGTCCACTTGTTTCCCTTGTTTTTTTTTTTCCCTCAATAACTCTCTTCTTTCCAAATTTACTTTCCCTCCTGACCATCTTCAGCTCTTTTTCCCTTCCTGCCTTCTTTCTTTCTTTTCTTTTTTTTTTAACTACAAGAATGCTCAGCTAACATCCTACCCATATCAAGTAATTTCCTCAAGTCAGTAGCTCCCAGTAGGCAATCCAACATTAGTTTTAGCAAACCCAATCTCATGTCGAGAGTTTGTCAGAGGGATGTAGCTTCAGAGAAAATTATCCTCTGTTTCTGTGCCAACACAAACAAGCGGGTCAGACAAGCAAACACACAAGAATGTGAGAGTAAACCCAGTGCAGTGCTTTTAGGCAGCACTCATGATTTAAGAGGCCCATCAAGAAGTGCATGGGAAAAACACACACACACACTCTCAGCCAACATACTGTATTAAATCAAATGATGTTGCCAACACGTGCACAGACACACACCTAAATTCTTTATTTTCAGGTTATTTAGCACGTGCCAGGGGAATTCAGAAAAGTTTGGATGTAGATTGCTATTATACGTTTCTTTAGTAAGATACTTTTTTCACCCTTCCTATTTTTTTTTTTTTTAAATTAACAACCTGATTATTTTGCTTACAGCAGTAATGCAGAACATTTTGCCGAACATATTTCTACCGTGATACAGTGACGTTTGTGCCGATCCTGGTTTGCGGTTGCTTATGATTCCTAATTGGGGCCATCAGGTCTGAATGTACATTTCTGTAAAGCTTAAGAGTTTACGTTGATAAATAAGTAGTGACGTGAGGAATAATAATCTTTGCTCCGCTTCCAAATGTAAATAAAGGGCATTTCAAGGTCCGAGTGCGTGCACATTTGTTTGTCTGAAAGAAAAAAAAAAGACAAGGACAGAGAGAGAGCTGAGGGCTGTGGTGAGGGAGGGCTTATCTACAGGGGGGTCTTGTTAGCTGATGCAGGTCGGCTAATCGGATTTAGCCAAAGAGACGGGAAAGTGTGTGTGTGAGCCGTTGTGCGACGGCTGTGTGACTGGGTGGAAAGACAGATGGGAACAGCATGGTCAGACGGTGACCTGTGACCTGTTCCAGCTCCTGCACGCACACACACACTCACACTCACAGACCCAAACACACACCTAGACACGCATAGGATATCTATAATGCATGTGATATTAATGAGCAACCGAACCAGGCCCCCCAAAAAATCCCACATTTATGTACAGTTTGAATAAAAAATAAAGATTCAGTCTTCAGTGAAGAAGAGCAGCAGAGAATCACGCCCGTGTCTAATGAAAAGTTAATGTAGATCCATCTTTAAAGGCTTTCTGTTTTCTCTGACCGGTCTCCCTGTATACCACCACTTCTTTCTCGCCTTCTTCAGCAAACACACACACAGATGCGCGGCACAAAACAGGTGCCCTTCATTAAGAAAGAGAGCAGCTGGGCCCTCTATCTTGTTGACTGCCCTTGCTTTTCTCCTCTGCTGTTCTCCTCTCAGCTAATACCGTATTCAGGGCATAAAAATAAGGAGCCAGTCTCCTTCTTCCCCGCTCTGTTTCACTCCTCCTTTCATTTACAATTCTCAAACAGCATATTTAAATACCCAGGGCGCTAACTCACTGTTGCGACGTGGGTGTTTGGAAAAAACAAGGGACTGAGAGAGAGAGAGAGAATATTGAAAAATAACACCGAAGGGGAAAGGCGTCGGAAAGAGAGGAACAGCAGATGATGTGTGGCGTTTCGAAAAGCTGCCTTGCAAATGTTCCTGTGATACCTGCTTGTCTTCCTGTTTCTATCAATCCAAACAGAGTAAGGTCACTGTCAGCTTGTGTCAAACAATCAGAGCATGAGGTCTGGCACTGGTGCCAAGACTGGGACATAAACCAAGTGCAAGGCTTTCTCCGATGGAACCGGTGAAGCAGACACAAAATGACAATGCAGTACCTGCTCAACCAAGAATGTCACAGTCTATTTGTGAGTCTGTGTGGGTACCAGCATTTGTGTGTGTGGTCTAAAACGGCTCTGACGTCACAAAGAATTAGAGTGTTAGACTGTTGGCAAAGCAAACGCTGTCCTGTGATAGAAGACACAACCTGAAAGTCACGAGAACTGAGGTCACATGTTAAAAGAACCACTTGTTCAAACTATAACATTTGTTCATCACATTTGGCTGACTGGGTTATTTTTCTCGTAGGTGAAAAAGTTACTTTTGTTGTTCTATTAACTCCCGGACTGGGTTATTTTTCTTGTAGGTGAAAAAGTTCATTAGTTACTTTTGTTGTTCTATTAACTCCCGATGATTGTCAAAGATAGCTTATTCATGTCAATTAGCTAATGTTAGCGGTGTAGTTACAAAGCTCAAATGGACAGAACCGGCCAGTATGTCAGGCACAAGCTACAACTGCCATGTAGCTAACAGAGAGAAAAAGCCACAGTGACCAACTGGGCCGTAACTTCTGGGTGTGGTTATTAGCCTCGCATGCTTCGCACTAAAAACGCAGACATAGTGTGAAAGGTCAAACGGCCTGCACTTATGTAGCGCCGTCCTAGTCCTGGTGACCAATCAAATCTAAAAAGTAAAAATGACATTTTTTATTTGATTCTAATGAACTACTAGTACTGCCTCCCTTTGCAATCTAATCGTTTTTTAAATCAAAACATTTACCATTTAACAAATGCAGATGAATACACACATAGTGAAACTAAAACTTAGCTTAGCATAAAAAAAAAATAATACATGCAGATCAGTCCTCACTAGCTGAACTTAGATGACTCACTTCCTGCAACAGAAGTTGAGCTAAAAATGAACGTGGCCTTATTCCCACCGCATGTTGTAATGGCTACTATAACTACACCAACACCATGTTACTGACTCACAGCAGTAATACTCATCATCTTCCTGAGCCAGAGTGTCTGTGCGCGTGACTGCAGTTTTGGCAACAGGACCTGGCACTGATATTTATTGTCCTGGACTGGACTTTACTGTATTAGTCCATGTACTCAATTACATTTATTTCCATCGACGGTGGTGGCCTTTTCTATATAGTGTGCCATGCCCTCTTGCCCATACTCTTGCCCATACTAGATTTATTTAGTTTATTCTTATTTTTTATTTTTTTGCATTCCATAAAGAAACATTTCAAATTTATTAGCTCTTGCCCTTACTAGATTTATTTAGTTTATTCTTTTTTTTTTTTTTTTGCATTCCATAAAGAAACATTTACATATTTTTGAAAATAAAAATATTATGGTTTTCGAGTAGGATAAGAAAAAAAATTGTCATTTTAAAATGACAGTTGGCT